TATATATATACTTATGTAAAACAATAGTGAACTAGTGAAATAAATTATGTGCATTCATAGGATAGATAATAAAAATGAAGTTGAATTAAAGGGCTTACATTTGAATTAAGTAAATGTCTGTATATTCTAATTGTAAGACAAATATTAACTCACATAGGCAAGGAAAACAGTGAAAGCATTCATACTAAACTGTGTACCTCTCAGCAGTGGAATCTGAAAAATGTGTTCTTTCTTGTCCATTTCTTCCTCCTTCTCTTCTCTTTCTTTCCTATCCTACCTTCTTTTTTTCTTTTTTCTTCCTCTCTTTATCTCTCTTTCTTCCTTTTTTCCTTTTTCTTCCTCTTCAGTGCTTACTTACTTTTCATAAGCACATGTCTTTATGCCAAAGCAGCCACCTGAGGCACTGGTGTGTCCTCCTCCCAGGTGTGGCTGATGGGTCAGGGACAGCAGCCCGCTGCCCTCTGCACGGCGCAGACACAGAGCACAGCATCATGCTGGGTCCCGTGAATACGTGTAATGACCACGTGCTGCCCAGACAAGAAGTGCGTGTGTAGGGGCAGTTTGCAGACACCACAACTTACAAAAATCAACCTGGTAATGGATGGCAAAACCCAAATTCCAAGAGGAGTGTTTGTCCATCAGTCCTTGCTTCATGCCATGTAACTTGCTAGCTAAAAATTTACTAGGTTCAAACAGTGAAATGAGAATGTGTGAGACTCCTAAAAGCACACAAGCGAGTGGGTGGATGTGAAAATAACTCTTCCTCAGCTGGCACCACTCAGGCCAAAGCACCAGAGACACTGCCATGCCCGCCCAACACCTTCTGTCTCCCACAAACTGTGCTGCCATCACTGTGCCCAGGGAAGGGAAGACCTTCAAGCTCAGGCAGATGTCACAGGTAAGAGTTACACTTCCCTCTTAGTCTCTGAGTGTCTGGTAACAACAGGCATGGGCTGAGAGACCAGCAACCCAGGAACCTTCCCAGTTTCAGGGAGGGAAGTCCTGTAACCAGGGCTTACTAGCAATGTACTACCAATGCTTTCCCAGCGCAGAGAGCGTAGATCACACAACAAGCAGGGGACTGGAACTTACCAGCTAGAACATCACCTGATAAACAGTAACAGGCAGTTAAAAGGCTTTTCAATCAATCTCTCCCCCACAGCTGTGCCAGAGCAATTCAGGTTAAGATGAAAAAAATATATAAAGATGAGCAACTTTGTCTAAAGACAAAATGCAGCTGCATTCAAAGCGAGAAAGAATTGTAAGAGAGATTCTGAAAAATACCTATAAATACTGAGTTTTAACAATATGGTTGATAAAATATACATAAAGAATCCAAGGTATTGTCACAAATTAATGATGCACTTGATATACATTTTAGAAGGCTCTTTTCGATATCAGGTTGGGTATATACTGTTCTATCTCCAGACCATTCATTTCAGTTCTGCCTGGACAAGGCATTAGCAGCAGTGCTGGAGTCAACCTCAGAGAATGACCTGTGCCTAAAGGCTGGTCTTAAGACACCAACAGACTCAGCTACAGTGTGAAAGATGCATTTTCTAGTAGCTTCCAGTCTGACTTCCATACCCTCCACTGTGGTTTTTGGCAGACAATGATGTTGATGGCCTGTATTCAGTGTATGTAACTGAGATACCCAAATTCTAAATTGGCCCTGTAACTAGAGTAGGATGCCCTATAGAAAGCATGAGACTCTGGGGTCACTTCCCAAATTCAGTCTTTAAGGATGATTACAGAGAAATAACATACACACATAGTGCAGGTCATATGGGAAGAACGTGCAGCCCATATGAAACACAGAGGAAACACAGAATACTGGGAGAGTTCCCAGGGGGCCGTAGTGAAGGCACACATGAAAATTGATTGAGCTATGCACATTTTATGCATGTATGTTATAAGAAGGAGGGAAAATTCAGGAGAAAGATTCAGTAACTGCAGAGCACTGGGTACTGTACCCAGTATCTTTCTATGGGTCAAACTTGATAGTCACATGCTGGCCCATGTCTAGTTACTTTTCTCTCATTATTGAGACAAAATACCCAACACTCAGTGCTAAAGGAGGAGAGGCACATTTAGCTCACAGTTTGTAGACGTTTCAGTCCATAATTGGCTGAGTCTAAGGCAGAGTGGCATATGGCAGAGGGCAACAGTTCATGGCAACCAAAGACAGCAAAAGCAACAAGAGTAGAAGTGGAAAGAGCACACCTCTTCTTCTTCCGTATAGTGCATGCAACCTACCTGCCCTAGAGCAGGTGCAGCACTCACATCCATCAATCCCAGCACGAGATAATGGGCCAATCGAAACTCTACATTCAGCTATTACTGCAGAGCCTGTCCCACCATGACTTCACGAGGCTTTAGGGGGACATCCAGACACAAACTGTGACATTCTGCCCCTAGCTCCTCAAAGACTCACACACATCCCTTTATACAAAAGTCCATCTCTAGGGGCTGGGGATTTAGCTCAGCGGCATAAGTGCCTACCTTGCAAGCAGGCAGTTGTGAGTTCGATCCCTGGTACCGATAAAAACGAAAAAGACAAAAAAAAAAAAAAAAGTCCATCTCTAAGAGGTGCCAAGTTCTAAGTGTCCTCTAAGATGTAAGGCAAACTCTTAGCTGTGAGCCCCTGTACACATAAAAAGAAAGTTAAACAGTTTCAACATTTCCATTGCCAAAGTTCTAAACAGGAGGATACAAAGGAATGGGACCAAAGCAAGTCCAACATCCAGCTGGGCAAATATTAAGTCCTGTAGTTCCATGTGCAGCATCTAAGGAAATCTGTGAGCTAAAAGGGCTGGCACTGCACTGTCCATTTGGCACTTGCAGTAGTTGTAGCTCCTATGGCTTCTTGCTTGGACCAGCTTTGCTCCTTCCTTTCAGTTTTCCTCAGACAGTCCACATTCTTGGCTTCTCAGACTTCTGCAGTCTCCACTGCTCTGTTAGCTTCACACACGGCCCACTCAGGGGCACACTGCCTAGTCTCCTGGGCCTTCTGAAATTGGGGTGGAAGCCTTCTTAACACCACCACTCTTACATGCTTACCAGCGCTGTGTGGATGATGCCAAGGTCTGCTGCCAGCTGGCACAGTAGCCAGAATTTCCTGTTTCTTGGCTGTAGGGGTTAGATGTCTGGATTGCTGAGTACTCTGAATCCAGTTCTGAGGAACAAATTATTTACACTGCTATCATTCTAGCATATGGTGTTCTGCAGCTTTCTTCACAAAATAGTCTCATTTTTGCAGTTTTGAGGCTGCAAAGGGTGGAGTCCAGCTCTTATGATGCCCTCAGGTCATCTTTTCTATTGTCCTGCTCCTTCTTAGCCATCAAGATCTCCTCTGCTATATCTTTGCAATCCACAGCTTTACTGGAGCTTCTTTTCTGGCCAAACTCACATTTTAAATAGTTCTTCTAGACTTTTTGTTCTTGGTTTGCAACATAAATCTGGCCAAAATCCCCCAACAATAGCTTTGCCACAGCCTTGACATTAGACAGCCTTGAAATTTATTCTGCCAGATTAATTAGCCTGTCATACATGCCTAAGGGATTCTAGCTCTACTCTTTCAGGTGACATCTCTGAAACTTTCCAAACTCTTCCCACAAGCCATTCCCAAAGGCTCATGAATCAGTTATAACAATGACCCCACTTCTACGGCACCAAATTCCATCTTGCATATTTTTCTTTGGCTGAGATGAAATACTCAATACCCAAAGTTAAAGGAAGAAAGGCTTATTTAGCTCACAGTTTATAGAAGCTTCAATCCACAATTGGCTGGCTCCAAGGCAGGGTAGAACATGGCAGAGGGCAACCATTTATAGTAACCAAAGACAGCAAAAGCAAAAGGAGCAAAATGGGGAGAGCAAGCCTCTTCTCCTCCCTTACGTTATGTGCAGGCTACCCGACCTAATGCAGGTGCAGCACTCACACCACCAATCCCAGCACTAGACAATAAACCAATCACAAACTCTAGATTCCGCTGCCTCTGCAAAGCTACCCATGGCCGCATGAAGCTTTAGGGGGACATCCAGACACAAATCATAACACCCCACAACTACCATCTCCACTAATAAAGAAGCCAAAAATGAAGAGAAGCAGTTCAGAGGGCAGAGCATTTAGGTCCAAGCTGGAAATGCAAGGGAGAATTGGAAAAAGTGTCAGATAAACAAACAGAAGACTAGTTATTAATTTGTTACTATCTATTAAGAAATCTTTGTCACATTATACAAACTGTTGTGTGAATTATCTGCAGAGAACATCTCCAATTCCAAGTGACTTAAAACACCACCATTAGTATCCACAAAATTTCATGTCCTCTCAGCTCTGTGTCCACATTTTGGGAACAAGTGGGGAGGACAGAGTTAGGGCTCATGCTTTGTGGTCAGCTTTGGGTCATACAGGGCTTGACATTTCTTGTCTGTAGCTTCAGTTGGGAGTTATCTTGGTTGCTCTCCTGTCATGGACAAAATACTAATTATGGCTTGTGCCTGGATGCACCCCTAAAGCCTCATGTGGTCATAGGGTGCTTTCCAGAGTTGGTTGGATTAAGCGTATGTGATTCTGGAATTACGTGTGTTGCTGGGATTAAGGATGTGTGATTACTAAATCAGTGCACTGATTGGTTTGGCACAGCTCTGGGTGTGGGTAATGGGAAGGCCCACGCTGTGTGTGAGTAGTACCAGCCAAAGGATGAGTAGCCGGAAGAGATAAAAGGGGGAGGCAGGCTGTCTTTTGCTGTTTTGCTGTCTTCTATGTGTGACGAACTGTTTCTCCTCTGTGATGCCCCTCTGCTGCACCACCTTCCTTACAGCCAACCGACTATGAACTGATAGTAACCTTTGTGGCAACAGCCCTTTCCTCTTCTAACTTTGGGTGTTTAATATTTTGTCCTAGCAATGAGAAATGTAACGAAGACAATACCCAACACTCTCAACTTTAAGGAGGGAAGTTTATTTTGGTTCATAGTTTCAGTTCTTTGCTGTCTCCAGGGCAAAAAGAGCATGGTACTGCTCACATCACAGCAGCTGGGAAGCAGAGAGAGAAAGGAGGAGCTGAGAACATGAACACACCTTCCCAATCCCACCTCCAGCCACGCCCTGCCTTCTACAGCATGGTCAGCCCTGAACCCACCATGAAGAATCCACGAATGAATATGGTGTCCCATGACCTGTCACCTTCTAACAACAGGAGACTTTCACGGGACACGTTAGATCTAACCAGAACAGGTTACTTATATTAAATCTCACTGTTAGTATCAGTTTTGGTTTTATTGAATTTACAAGTTTTTCATTCCCAATCTGGCCAGCATGACCCTCTACTTGTGCCCGAGGGACAGAATGGTTGGACTAGTGTCACTGCTGATGTGAGACAGCATGAACGATTAGCAAATTCTTCTATGAAAATCTGACCTTCAGCAGTATTTCCAGATCTGATACCTTGGAGGTGCCATAAAGGTATAATAATGTCAACTAGTCCCTGGGCAACACTGCTAACTAACTCCTTAATTGTGAAAAAGGACCTTGACCCGGAGAACTGCGTGTGCATGGGCACCGGGCATTCAGCCTCCCTGAGTGTGATGATGCACACATGGGCACATTCCCTGCAGAGATACCAGCTTTACAGATCCACACGTTTTGTTTCTATTTTCAGCTTCACTCCTCCACCTCACAGATTTTTGTTTCTGTGGCTATGGATCGAATACGGGAGAATTTTAATGTTTTACTGAAAGTTTTACACAGTGAACATCCTCACTGATCACCTAGCAATTTGAGATCCAGTACATGAAAGATACAGTACTGTTTCCCCTTTCCATCTTGCTTACACCACAAGCAAACTCAAGAACCCCCTCCATCCGACACCTAAACCACACATCCTAACTGATGTCCCTCGAGCCACTTTGCATATTAACAGGCTATCAACGAATATCCTTTTATATGTGACACTTGAAATTTTCTGGCTAAGAAGTCAAAAGTTTATCAAAATGTGTTGTGCATCTTCATATTCTTTTCTGCTTTTTCTGCCATGTTACCAGAAATCCAGATGCTGTGCAGCTGTTTGTTAGTCTTCTCTACAACATGGTAACTCTGGCAAAGGTAGGTCCTGCATCATTTACTGACTCTGCCTTCATGCTCAGTAAGTGACTTATATCTGACCAATAACAATCACCGCCTCAGGCAGTAATGTCTAACGGGAGCAGCCATCAATTCTTTCTCTTCTGGTGCAAGAGGTCTCTCATTCCAACATGAAACAGAATCCATTTCCTAACTCTAGAATCTGTGGGTTTACCTTTTAGAAAACTGGAAGCCATGTTCTGGGACTTGCAAACCTATGCCCTGAAGCAGTGGTTACTTCAGCTTTGTTCTCTCAAAGCTCAGCCACTTAGCATAAGGAAGCCCAGGATGGAATGCTCATGACTGGGAGGACATAGAGAGGAGCCTGAAGAATGAAGGTCACCTTGAACAACCTTGCTTCCTACTGAATGCATCTGCAAAACATTGTCCAGCAAGCTCCTCAGAACTGTGCGGCTGAGCCCAGCCAACCCTTAGGCCACCAAATTTGTGACAGTTTGTTACACAACAATGAGTAATGGAGATACTTAGCTAAAGATCAATCAGTAACCCATGCACAGTGGAGAGAGACAAAGGAGGAGCATAGACAAGTCTCTTAAAGCTGTAGCAGCATTTTAAAGAGAAAGTTCCAAAAAGGACAACCACCTCTAAGTTGACACAACTAAAATTTAAAATATTATTCTAAGCAACTTTTGATCTTGTAAAAATGTATCCTAAGACAGATACATTGCTATTTGGTGACTGGTTTGTTTGGATTCAAAAGTGTATGGATAATTGTCCTGACTGGGTCAAGGAGTGTTAGAAAGGGGCCAGGGACTTGAGGCTGGTTTTCATATGATTCAAAAGTGTATGGATAATTGTCCTGACTGGGTCACGGAGTGTTAGAAAGGGGCCAGGGACTTGAGGCTGGCTTTCATAGGCGCCACAGCTCGGTTTTATGCAGCAACATTTCTTAAGTAGAAGAAAATATGCTGCCTTCTTTTCACATTCAAATGAATTCGGTTTCTTACCCACAGGACTTTAAATCCAGCATTTAAAATAAAACAAATGATTCCACTGCAGAACTGTGGCCCAATAAGGACTTCAGCAGTAAACACCCTGAAGACAGAAACTTACCACGCTTCTGACGTTTCATAAATTCTGACTCTAAGTTGTAGAGAAAATGGAACAAATTGTAAATTGCTAACCTATTTTATTACAAACATAAAATAACACATTTCCCATTACAGCACAGTAACTTTTATTTTATGAATGTCCACATCAAGGCAATAAAGCCATTTCCATGCAGTCCAGCAGAATTTTCCAACAGACGGGTTAGGAAGGAACCAGGTGGGTGGAGCTAAGCGTGCAGTTTCTCTCTGCTGTGTTACTGGTGACCACTGCGTCTGCAGCTTCCAACACACAGCACCAAGGCTTTCTCTAACTGTTGCTTTCTTCGTGTGGCTTTGTGGAAATAAAGTATATTTATTACCCACAGCACTGTGTTTATGACTGTTTAAGCATGAAATAAGACAAAAGAGGAGAGAAGAGGGTTGCTGCTTACTGCTAAGCACAGGTTAATGAAATTGTTGCCTTCGGTGTGTACTTTGAGTATAAAACTGCTTTTTGGTCTTAAAATAGCTCTTCCAACACAGTTCTGACATTACTCTTCCATTAAATCATCACCTAGATAATTGTATTCTATTGATGAAATAATCTGTTGAAGCTCTATTTCCTTTTTATCCAGTAAAGGTCACATTAAGTGAAACCAGCTATTAAGTAAATAGCAAATAAATTCAGTCCTATAATAAATGTCTTCATCTGCTTACACCACAAAGAGGACAAAAACGAGGCTGCAAATATAGATTCAAAATGGGTTTAACATAAATGCAAAAATATTGAAGCATCCTAACAAAGCACTGCATAAATGAAATTCAAATGACTCTTAAGTGGTAGGAACTTTTAATATGGAAAACTTCGATTCTTGGTCCAACAGAACACTGATACTTTTCAGCTGGTCTGACAGCACTTTTTGCCTAACAGTAACATCCAAAGGAGTAGCATCTACGTTTCATTGCTTTATTCACGCAGGGTCACACACATCAATAATTTTTACCTGAAAGGATCGGTCTGCGCTGACCCAAAAGCCACAGGTCCCTGCTCTGTGAAGAGCCAGGCACTGTGGGGACCACCAGTCCATTTTGGAGCCAGGGCATCCAGAAACACTGAAAGTGAAGGATGCTTAGGTTCCTGAAACAGCGCCTTCTGGTACTGCACTCCAGGTGGCTCAGAGGCAGGGAAGGGGTCTCCCTCAGGGAAAAAGGGCAGGGCTGCCTCCTGGGAACACCAGAGTCAGCCCTGCAGCCACCTGAAGAGACTGAGATCATGGGCCCCATCCCCCAGGAGCTGGACGGCCTCAGGGGAGCTCTTCACCTCCTTCATCTCCAGGGTACAAGAGGGGGGCTGCTGAGGTCCCAGTGACCCCTCTGTCTGGGTGTGGGAGCCTCTGTTTCCTGCATGCAGAGTCACAGCAACCACCTAGTGATGGTGATGTCCTGTGCACTGCAGAGGGACTTCTGCCAACCCTGATCATCAGGGACCGTGGCCCCAGTAAACTGACCTAGCTGGAGGACTCCACGACAGTCCTGCAGGGCAGCACTGTATGTATTATGCAGCCTGAGCGCAGTGGCCAGCAGTGGCCAGCACATCTGTAGGAAGCTGTGCAGTGGGGAGGATCCAGGCTGGGGTCCCACAGGAGGCTGGGCAGCAGCACCCACACAGCTGCATGCCCTGCCCACTCTAGTGCGCTTGAAGGAGCCAGGCACTATGGGGACCACGCTCTGGGGATAGTGGCCAGGCCAGATCTGGGATCATACAGACACTGCACCCCACTGATGACTGACCTGGGGTCTCGGGGTGGCATGGCCCCAGCCTTGACTCCCAGGAGCGGAAGAGCTCAAGTCCCTGGCTGGGAATCGACCCAAAGGCTGCCAGCCGCAGCCATAGAGGAGGGGTGCACAGCCCCCCAGCACCTCTGCCAGGCTTCTGCTGTAGGAGCTGGCCAAAGGTGGACTCCAGTGTAAATGTTATCCCAGGAGGCTCTCGCACCGGGCGGGTGGGTTTGTCTGTCTTCCTTGGTGTTTGTTCCTGAAAGAGTGGGGTTGTTGTTATTGCTTTCACTTTCCTGGCGTCTCACCTGCCACACTACACCCTCCACACCTAGGCTGGTTCACAGGGTGCTGTTACCACTTCTGTCTGGTGGTACACAGGAGGACCGACCTCCCTGGGCTCCAGTTCACCACCTACGGAAGACCCCTCCCTACTTGACCTGTCCTGCTCCATGCTCCCCTTTCTTCACAAGTTCAGACTGCTCCTGTGATCCTTCCTTTGATGACATAAAGCCTGGCTCAGCTCTTGGGGGCTCCGTGGTGTGGCCAGGTGTCTGTCTCACTGTCTCTCCTCTTCCTCATCCGTCCCTACCCTGCTCCTCTGGGATGCAACCCTTCCTGCAAGCCCCATCACAGGGAGGGGCCAGTGTGGCTGCCCCCCCCCCCCCCGCCTTTTGTTTTTCTTTTGTTTTTTGTTTGTTCTTTGCTTTTGTCTTTTTGAGACAGGGTCTCACTTTGCAGCCCATGCTCGTCTTAAACTTGCCATGATCCTTCTGATTCAGCCTCCTGAGTGCTGGGATTACAGGTGTGCACGAAAATTACTGGTTTTGACTGATTAGGAGAAAGCAGATTTCAAATGAGCTGCTGTAAGAAGCACAAAGCTGATGGGCCTAGATACTACATCATAACACCTTCCCTTGAAACAATGTATCACCCAGGAATCTTGCAGAAGAAATGAATTATGAACTCTTGGAAAGTTACCCCCCACATGTAGTATCTGCCTTTTGAAATCCAGTACACATTAAGACCTCAACTTTAATATGAGTTTCTCATGGTAACGTTCTCATCCCACTAGATATACACAAATGACCATAAAGCTTATGTGTTGTTGTCCCCAGAGGAGGAGCCCATGGGTTCCCAATAAACAAATGCTATCCACAACCTTGCTCTACTAACACAGCTAGGAAAGTCTGGAAATACAGAAGCTGGGCCCACACTCCATTAGGCACACCCTCAGGCCATTGGGCTGAGGAGGGAGGCTCTGTGTTTTTTTCCTGTTAGCAGTGCTGAGAAGGGAGCAGCGGAAGGGGAAGAGGAGAAAGGAGGGAGAGGAGGAGGAGAGACCTCTGGGCGCTCAAGTCTCCGCCACTCACTGACCTGAGTCACCCTCATCCCCTCCACGGAGGTCATTTCCCTACTTCCCAGGGCATTTTGCACCACTCCTTGGTTCTGGGAGCCCGAGGCAGCATGGCCCAGCGAGCATCTGCTGCAGGGATTGTCCTCTTCTGTCCACTCTCATCCCCAGGACTTCAAGTCTGGGGGCAGTTTACTCTGCATCTCAGGATGTACCACCCCCCCATCCTGGGCTTAGAGACCCAATTTATCCATCAGGACACCACTGCCTAGCCAGGGCAGCCGCTGGAGAGTCGCCCTCCTGCCCACCCCGAGACTGTGGGTCCTGGCTTGCTGTCACCTTCTGCAGTCTGGCTTCTATCACAGTTGTTGATGGTTTTTAACCCACAAGACCATGACAACCCTTCGCCTTCTCCTGACTTCTGTGCCCCCAAGAACACTGATTCGCACCCATCCTCACTGCTGATTCTGTGTCCTTTTTATACCTGGTCACTGCCCCCTAGTGTGACCTCCAGCAGTTACTTCTCAACCACGGGTGCCAGCCTTCTAGCGCTCACCCCCGGAAGCCCAGTTGGAACACATCATCAGTCCACTGGGACTCACAGTCTACTGTACCTCTTGCCTGTTTTTTCTTACTGTACCTCTTGCCTGTTTTTCTAAGCTCATGGGTCAGTGTCACCCCAAGCCTGCCTGCTGTTTCCTTCACTTCCCCTGGAAGCGGTTCAGTTGTGAGCCCATGCACTCAGTCAATGATGAGCTTCCTGCCTTTAGCAGCGGGGCTCAGTCTCACCCTTGCTCACCAGTCTCCTCCTCTCCAGGCTCATCCCGAGCTCTACGAATCCAGTTTTTTCTCCCACTTAAAACCAAGCCTCGTCCTGGCTCTCTGATACTCCTTTAAGGCTGCACCTTGGACAATGGCCTTGGGAGCTGCCCACAGGACCACCCAGCCCTTAGTTCCCACCCCCTCTGGTCAGGCCTCATCAAGGCTGCAAATAACCTCCACAAGTAAGTCCCAGGATTTGTCCTGGAACCTACCGGCAGCAGGTGGCCCAGCCAGTCCCTCTCTCCCTAGAACCTCCTTCTCCTGGCTTCATGGTACCCCCACTGTGGCCAGCCAGTTCTCCTCCTGTCTCTCGGTCCCCTTTCCTCTCCCAGGACTCCATCCTGGGACGTGTTTTCCGCAGGGAACTGACTCCTTAGGGTGCCGTCTGGACACCTGAGTCCCATCTCTGCCTTGAACGTGACCACCTAATAGGCATTACAAACTCAGAGGCCCAGACTCTCGGTCTTCCTCCAAATTCCTCCCGACCCCTAACCATTCCCGTGTTCACAGCTGCAATTGCAGCAGACCAGAGTTTGTCTGTGCGATTCCCCATTCCCTATGAATTTTATATAATTATTTACAAAGAAGAAATATTTTCTCACTCAGATGATTTTTCTGGGCCTTTGAAATTGAAATATAAAGTAAAAGAGATTTTTTAAAGTTAGCAGGCAAATGACCTGCTATCAGCTGGAATTAACTCCACACACCCAGGAAAGGTTTGGAACAGAATGCATTGAGGGCTGCATCGGAAAAGCAGAAACTTGAAGGTTTACATCTTACTGACCTCTACCTTCTTCTGCTCTGTGTGGGTGCTGAGCTCTGTGTGGTCACTTAGCTCAGGGGGGTGATGGTGCGGTCACAGCTCCTTTAGAAGCACCTCCTCTGGAGGTGGCTGCCCTTGTCACTGAGTGGTCACAGGTGAGCAAGCCCATAGTCACACTCTGGTCACAGCCGGCAACCCCTGCTCCCGAGCCCAGGCACAGCTGTGTCTCACACTCCCTGACCTGAGAGTCCATGTGGAAGGGCACATGGGCTCCCGGCTGGCAGCAAGGGGCTGATCTGGGGCCTGGACACAGATCCCGGGGTGGGGGGGTGTCTCAAAACCTGAGAAAGCATGGAGCTGTCAAGAGCGTGGGCTGTGCCACGTGGAGCCACCACATCAGCGACCATCACCAACACAGACCAAAGGCCCCAGAGCGAGTGAAAATACTGCTGTACTACAGATGCCAATACTGAGACTTCATTCATCCAGAGATAGGAGGTAAACAGAAACACCTGCCACAGAGTCAGGACCTGCACAATACCAGAACACAGCGTAGAGCTCTCCTGCTGCATGGCAGCAGTTAGCACGGTCACCTCAGAAATGACGGCTCCCACGGGCTTGGTCCAGGAGTTGTGCCTTTCAGGGGGGAGCGATTTTACAGTGCACTGTC